AGATGAGGTAGATGAGGGGAAGCAGCCACAGGCCTGATGATGTCAGATGTAGAAAGCACAGAAAGGACTTTGGAACTTATTCTAGTTGTGACAGGGAGCTACTGAAGGGTTCTGAGTAGAGGAGAGATGCAATCAGATCCAGTTTTCAAGGGATCACTCTTCCTCTGTGTGGATAAAAGACTAAAAGTGGCACAATGACAAACACAGGGTGATCAGTCAGAGGACTACTACAGTAATTCAGATGACAGAGGTGGTGCTTTCATCAGAATAGAAATAGTGCAGATGGAGACAAGTGACTGAATTCTAGACTTTACCTGGAGGTGGAGCAGATAAGATTTGCAGACAGATTGGATGTGGTGTATAAGAGAAGTGAAGAATGGTTCCAAAATCATCAGCAGAAAATGGGAACAGAAATGTCATTTGCTGAGATGTGGGATACAGGGGGACAAGCGTGTTTTGGGAGAGTGGAATCAAGAACCATTATGGTCATGCCATTAGACACCATTTGAAGGTGCTGAAAAGGCAGCTGGATTCTACAACTCCAGAGTTTAGGGAGAAGTCATCGTCATCATCATCAGTATCCCCATTTCCATTTCCCAAGAGATGGATTATGGTGTCTCTCAAATATTGTCTGGCCCTGCGTGATCTGGCTTCGGGAGGATCCTGGATGAATTTTAGGTAAAAGGGGTAACAACTAGATATGCCAATATTCACTGCTGCTTAAGTCTGAAAACAGCTGAGTCAAGAGGTGGTAAATAGCCTCTTGCAGACCAATACCTACCATAGCATCCTAGAAGGTATAAGCATTTCTCCTGTAGGCTGGGAGATGAAGGTAGAAAAAACTACCTAGCATTTCTAAACTATCTTTCTGAAAAGCTAAAGTACAGGGAATCCTTATAGTGTGACAAAATGGACTGTTGAGAGGATAAGATACGTGTACTACTAGTTCCACAGTGTATCAGTCAAGGATTATGGCAAGCTAAGTAAAGCATGTTAAGCAGCTGCATTCACCCTTTCCAGAAGCGTATGTCCTAGGCTGAGCTGGGTACCCCTCCTCCATGTTTCTATAATAGGCAGCATATGCCTTCAGTATCATTTATCTTGTATCATAATCTGTTCTTATGACTTTGTCCCTCACTGTGTGTCCTAGGAGCACAGACACTGTTTCTTATTCATCCCTTTATCCTTGTTTTCAGCAGAGAAACTGCGCCATATAGGCATTGAATATATATCTGATGAAGAATTAGGGGAATGTGTCCCTTTGTGCAGCATCAAGTCTTTCATTTTTTAAATTTCTTTTTCTCCTCTATTTATTTTTTATCTTTGCTAAGCACTTAATAACAGAAAATGGAGGTTTTCTTGAGATATTCGGAGGAAGCAAGATTCTCTCCTTAACCCAAGGGACTAGGACAGCTTACTGTGAAAGCATGATTTTTTTTTTTTTTTAAAGATTTTATTTATTTGACAGAGAGAAATCACAAGTAGGCAGAGAGGCAGGCAGAGAGAGAGGAGGAAGCAGGCTCCCAGCGGAGCAGAGAGCCCGATGCGGGGCTCGATCCCAGGACCCTGAGATCATGCCCCGAGCCGAAGGCAGAGGCTTTAACCCACTGAGCCACCCAGGCGCCCCTGAAAGCATGATTTTAAAGAAGCCCAGGGCTGCTAGAGGCAAGACTGTACACATTAACATGAAGACCTGTAGTGAAAGCACCCTACTGAAAAGCCTGTGAAGAACTCTGCAAGACTGCCTGGGTGGCAATGTCCATAAACAATGCAGAAGATGCCAGGCACCACCAGATTCCATCAGGCCCATCTTGGGTATAGCTCAGTATAAGATCTGATGAAGCATTCTGAGACATCTTTTCATGGCCCTTATTTCTAGTACCTGGACATTAACAAGAAAGACTGAAATTATTTGTTTGGTCTTTGGTGACTGTTATCAGACACAACCACTCTAAAAGCATAATGTTCATAATTAAGAGTCAAGGTTTAGACCCCTGAAACCATTTCTATTCTAGAGCATAAAAGAGATGCCCGGCCCTGCTTCTGTACTGGCCGATCCCAAGAGGATCACACAAATTTTTAATAGGTTAGATTTCATGACAGCCTCGAATGATGCTCTTCTACCCACACAGTTAAGTAGCTTGGGCACTTTGAATATAAGGCAGTCAACCACTTGGCTAGACTGAGTTTAGAACAACAACGTCAGTTACCTACAATAATAATAAGTGAACGATGAGTGATCACTAAGGAAAAAAGGCATATGGTGTTAACGCATTCAGTGCCCCTAAAATAGTGTTGTTCTTCATCTAGAAAACAAGAGAATCATCCGGGCAAGTTCAAGTTCCGGGCAAGTTGAAAACTCCCCACTGCTTGCCCCTCCAAACTGAAGACTTACTGGGTCTCGAAAGGAGCCAAAGCTCAGTATAGCTAATAAGAAAAGCTCAACCTTCAACTCTGTACCGAAAGCAAGAGTAAACGTACTTAAAATGACTGGGTTCCGGAGGACTGCCCCAACAGTCCCACTGCGCTCGGCGTAAATGCCCTCCCTCATCCCAGGTCTTTCGGACAGTGTCCGACGGGAGTTTATACAGCCACATGCCCGTCCACTTTCCCAGCCTTGTGAAAGGTCGGAACAGCCTCTGCGCCGACCCCGCCTCGGCCCCTGGAACCCTCAGCTCACCCCAGGCAGCCAGACAGTCGATCTGCAGAGGTAGCTTTTCTAGGATCGGCACGGGCTCGAAGGCGTCGTGCATGGCGGCGAGCAGTCACTTCAGCAGCCTCACCCGTAATGGGTCGGGCCGGGCCAGGCCTCAGCCGGGACCAGCCCAGTGGAAGGGCCAACCGTGATGCTGAACCGGGACCCTACCTACAGGCCATACGACAACACAGCCATCAACACCGGACTTCCTGCCGAGCTAAGCCCGCCTCTTCCGCAGCAGAAACCCCGCCCCTTCCGCCCCAGCTTCTAACGCGCCTTCGAGGAATGCTGTGGCGTTTGGGCCACCCCTTCTACTGGGGACCCAGAGCCTCTCTGCCATGGAACCGACTAGCAATGGGGTTAACAAAAAAGCGGGGCTGGGGGCGGGGAGAGTTCTTAAAACTGCCTCAGGCAGTGTAGAATGGTGGTTAACTCGGGCTTTGGCTTGCTAGTTGGATAGCTAATTTCTGCCATTTAGGAAATTAGCTGTGACGTTTAATCAATCTCCAGAAGCTTTGTTTTCTTATCTGCAAACGGTTGGTAGTGTTCCGTACTAACTTAGCGTTGTGGGCGCTTAGCAACTCCTGACCCACTCTAAACACCCAGTAAATGGTTTTTGCATTACCATTATAATCACAACCTTACCCTTTTTTAAAGGTTGTTCCAGGGCAGTAGTTCTCAAAGTGTGGTGCCTAGACCAGTAGCATCAACACCACCTGGTGACTTCTTAGAAATGCAGTCATGGGTCTCATTCCTGACTTACTGAATCAGAATACGGCGGGGCGGGGGGCGGGCGGGGAGTAGGGGTAGGTGTCAGCAGTCTGTGCTCTAGTAAGTCCCCAAAGTGAGTCCATGCACTTTAAAATTTGGAAAACCACTGCAATAATGATGCAAACCCACCCCCACCCTCTGACCCCCCCCCCCCAAACATCCGCAGGAAATGGGAGGTAGGTCATAAAAGTAAGCATTTGGGTCTAAAGCAAAAATGTAAATGAAAAAAAGGGTGAGTCTATGATAAGTTTAAAAAAAAAAAAAAGAACGCCTGGGTGAGCCAAGTCAGTTAAGAGTCTGCCTTCAGCTCAGGTCATGATCCTGGGATCTTGGGGTCCTGGGATCCAATACCACATCTGTATCCAGCTCCTTGCTCAGCAGGGTGCCTGCTTCTGCCTCTGCCAGCTGTTCTCCCTGCTTGTGCTCCTCTCTTCATCTCTCTCTCTCTGACAAATAAAGTCTTTAAAAAAGTAAATAGGTACTTGGGTGGCTCAGTCGTTGAGCATCTGCCTTCCGCTCTGGTGTGATTCCAGGGTCCTGGGATAGAGACCCACACTGGGCTCCCTGCTTGGCTGGAAGCCTGCTTTTCCCTCTGCCCCTGTTTGTGTTCCCTCTATCACTGTTTTTCTCTCTGGCAAATAAATAAAATCTTTAAAATAAATAAACAAAATAGCCTCAGGTACCTGGGTGGCTAGGTTGAGCAACTGCCTTCAGCTCAGGTCATGATCCTGGAGTTCCAGGATCAATTCCTGCATCGGGCTCCCTGCTCAGTGGGGAGTCTGCTTTTCCCTCTGTCCCTCCCCTCTCTCGTGTTCTCTCCCTCACAAATAAATAAATAAAATATTTTTTTAAAAAATGGACTTGGTCAGTTTATTTATTCCACCCCCCCCTTCATCTTTATACAATGGCAGTTTCTTCACTTGTAAATTAGGATAGTTGTCCCATCTTTACCAAATGTTATTTCTGATAATCCGGTGAAATATTTTCAAGGTGTTAATACTAACACAAAAATTGCTAAATAAACCAAGTGTTATGGCTGATTTTCACCACATAAAATAAACACCTCGAAAATTTAAGAATTGCCAGCTGCTGTACTGGACGAAGGCCTAATACCTAATAGTTTCAGGCCCAAGGACTAAGAACTAAATAGGTCTATGTGATACTACAAATTACTTCTGAACCAGTTTTAAGAAATGATACACTGTATCTAATCACAGTGACATAACCCATTAAGAGAAAGCAGAAAGAATTACCAGTCTACATAATTTACTATACACTCCTGCTTGACACAATGATTTTTCCCCTAGTCTTAAGTCAACATCTAACCACCATCAAAAAATATTTGACCAACCATCTTGCTCCATTATAACTATTTTTCACTTGCTAAGTTTCAGTATGGAAGAAGAGAAGCACACAGTAGTACCACTAGCCTTTTGCTAGTGGGTTAACCTGAGAATACAGTCAGCCCTTCATACTGTTCCTTAGAGATACTGCCTAGGTGATTTTTTTCTTTTTTAAATAACCATAGCAAACAGCTATAGAGAGATTTTAAAACACTTTCACTATTGAATGAGTTAGTGAAGACTGTGGTCATGTGGTCACTGGTTTCACAATTAGATGATGTAGAACAAAAACCATGAAAGGAAAATTCCACAAGAGTTTAGGAAGAAGGGTCTTTAGAGGCAAGTCTGGGGAAAAAATGAGGAAGATATATTAATTTTGTTAAAATTTTTTATATTAAAAAGTGGCATGAACTTTCTATGTAGAACAAAAATCTTGGGAAGGCAAAATTGGACAAAACCATTAAAACAGGAAAATAGTGCTTCAAATGAATCCCATCACCTTGTGATGTCTCTTATAAAGTCTCTAAACCAACACCAGGTATAAGAACAGTCAATCCTAAAGAATGAGCAGCAGTCCAGGGCCTCCACACTACTTCATGCAGGAAAAACTGTTTCAGTTAAGCCAGAAGGACCTGTTTCCTTTGTATTAGCTCCTGCTTAAGCACTACAGTTCCTTGAGCAGGGCGCTCACTCACAAGCACTTAGATGGAGTGCCTCTCTGCATCTAGTGCAACACCCAGTGAATAGCATGAAGGCAAACAAAGCATTGCCTAGGATTCCACAATGCCGCTGCCCTTGGAGGCTTACAAAACAGTAGTTAAAAGTTCTGGAGTGTGCACCACATTGCCAGCAATGGGATGTGTCACAAAAGCAGATGTCAAGAGTTAAGCTAATATTTCTCTCTAAAGTACATCTGAAATAGAAAAATCTTTAATATACACCATTTGTAAACAAAATTGCACTTGATTTTTTTTTTAAATGATCTGAATCATACTGTAACAGGTTTCTCTCTTGCGCGCTCTTCTTTTTGTTTTAAATCACCGACAGAACCATGGCTCCAGAAGTCAGGACTCTTTTTGTCTCCAAACTACCTCTGCGAGATATAACCTTGGCTTCTCAGGAAATGGAAAAATAATTAACAATTTCCCCCATCACCTATGTAACTCCCTAAATAAATAAAAATTATAGGCAGTTGCTCCTGGAGATTACATATTATGGCGTTGATGTCATAGTTCTTTAGAAGATGTTAAACTTTTTAGTTTGATAGATTAAACAATTGAAACATTATAGAAGGCTCAGGAACAACACACGTAAGTTGCATAAACATCCATGTCAGGGTATGGGAAGGAAAGGGGCATCAATGTTGTAAATAAAACGCTTGTAGATTTTTCTCATCCTATGAACTTGTTTTCAGTAAGATGTTCTCCTTGTTCTGACACCTCTCACCAGCTCCAATGCACAAAGGTCAAGGAACAGATCAGGTTTCACTGCCTCCTTTAATTCCATGGAGGAGTGTAGAAGATTAACACAGAAGCTGATCTCTTCCCAGATACTGCCATCTTCAACTGCACATCTTCCCATTTTTTTTACTCCATTTTGGACCTTTCGAAGTGTGTAATCATTCGTTCCTAAGGTAAAAAAGAAAAAGTTTTTTTCTAAGCATTTTAAATGGGTCTACTTTCCAAATATCTTCTACAAAGATCACACACACACACACACACACACACACACACACACACACACACACACACATACACATTTCTGACAAGTACTTTTGTGTCCATTAACTAGATAGAAATGGTTCCTAACTGGGGCACGTGGGTGGCTCAGCTGGTTAAGCAAACGACTCTTAATTTCGGCTCAGGTCCTGATCTCAGGTCTGTGAGATCAAGCACTGCTTCACTTCAGGCTCCGCACTGAGCGTGGAGCCTGCTTAGGATTCTCTTTCTTGCCACCCCAACCCACTTGCACTCTCTCGAAAGAAAGAAAGAAAGAAAGAAAGAAAGAAAGAAAGAAAGAAAGAAAGAAAAAGAAAGAAAGAAAAAAGAAAGAAAGAAAGAAAGAAATGGTCCTATGAAGATTTTGAAACATTGAAACATATAGATGTCCAGGCCCCACCCAAGACTAACTGAATCAAAATCTCTAAGTTTCTGGACATTAAACCACAGATTAAAAGGAACTGTGTATTTCTGAGTCAAAGAAGAGAAAGAAATAAACATCTACTTCAGATTAAACTTTAATGAAAATGTGTACCTCCTCTGATTCAAGAATATAACTTGAAGAAAAAGTCAAGGATGTGTACAAAGATTTAGCCAGAAACATTTCTACTGCAAAACTCAAAATTAAATGTCCAAAAATATAGGACTGCATAAACAAAATTATGATATATGCTCATAATGAAATATTACATATTCATTTGTTTAAAAAAGCTCTAGAGATCTGTTGTACAACACTGTGCATATAATTAAAACTTTGCACTTGAGAATAATTAGATGGTAGATTTTATGTATTTTCATAATTTTTTTTAAAAAACATGTTAAGGGGCATCTGGGTGGCTCAGTCTGTTGAGCATCCAATTCTTGGTTTGGGCTCAGGTCACGATCTCAGGGTCATGAGACTAACCCCCACGTCAGGCTCTGCACTGAGTGGGGAATATGCTGGAAATTCTCTCTCTCCCTTGGCCCCTCTCCCAATTCATGCTCTTTCTAAAAACAAGTAAATCTAAAAAAATTTAAAAATAAAAAGCATGTTAAGAATTACGTCCGATTAGAAACAGTACTTAGGGGTCCCTGGGTAGCTCAGTCCATTAAGCATCTGCTTTCAGATCAAGTCATGATTCCAGGGTCTTGGAATTGAGCCCCTGTTGGGTTCCCTGCTCAATGGAGGAGTCTGCTTCTCTCTATCCCTCTGTCCCTCCCCACTCCCATGCTCATGAGCATGTTTGCTCTCACTCTCAAATAAATACAATTAAAAAAAAATAGTATTTATAGTATGCCATTTCAATTAAGAAAATTAATTTACTACCATTAAATTTCTTTTCTTATATAATTTTTTACCTTAGAGTTAATATTTTTCATTTTTGTTTTGCTTCATTTGCTAAAAGCACATACCACATATCACATATACTGAACTTAGAACTGTAAATTTTTTTTCAAAATGATCAATTATATCAGCTAATCTATCCTTTTCACTTTTTTCCTTAGAACTACTCCTCCTGAAGCTCTCTGGTCTTTTCCATTGTGGACTGGATGCTCTCCAAGACTGTTGCCCAGCTATTACTCTCAGAGTTTCTTACATCATCTTGGGAGTTTATCCTTGCCTCTCTGTTGGACCCTTTATTCCCTGGATCCCAAATCTTTTTCTTTTTAGTTCTCTCATTTTGTAAAGAACATTTTCTACTACTTTTCTGAGAAAGCACACGTAGGATATTAATTTATTTCCTGCATGACTAAAATCGTCTTTATTTTGCCCTCATTACAACAGTTTAGTTGAATATACAATTCCACACTGAAAATAATTCTCCTCACAATTCAAAGACATTGTTCTCCTATGTTCTAGCTTCCAAAGCTGAGGCTGAAGAGTCTGATGCTATTTTGATTCCCAGTCCTTTAAAATTTGTTTCTCTTATAGTTAAGTTCTTACTCAGTTCTTGAAAGGTTTTCACACAAGGAAATATGAACAGAGGGGTAAAGTCACTATCACCAAAAAAACTATAATAAACCTGTATTGCCCTGAATGGCCCAACAGGGTTTTACATAGTCAACCTTCTCTGCCTGAAATACAGCAGTGGCTGAGAGCTAGTCACAGGGAAGCCTTGAAGAAAACTATTAGCAGAAGCCCTCGAGAGAGATTTGGGGGGACGCCTGGGTGGCTCAGTTGGTTGGGCGGCTGCCTTCGGCTCAGGTCATGATCCCAGCGTCCTGGGATCGAGTCCCACATCGGGCTCCTTGCTCGGCAGGGAGCCTGCTTCTCCCTCTGCCTCTGCCTGCCACTCTGTCTGCCTGTGCTCATGCTCTCTCTCTCTAACAAATAAATAAATAAAATCTTAAAAAAAAA